GAGCAAAGGGCATCGCTACTAGGAGCAAGGACGCTACTAGGGGCGCTTCTGGCCTTACTACTAGGAGGAAGAAGCTACTAGTAGCAAAAGGCATTTCTACTAGGGGTCCAAGTGGTTTGTTGAACACTTTGAGTGCGAGCTGCACACCGCAGGACTCATGACCGACGCTCCAGTGAACCTCAACACAGACACAGACCAGCTGCACTTGGTAGCTGAATCTAGTCGGTAGGCGAAGGCCTGGGTCAATAGTATTCAAGGAGTTAGCAGTCTGCAACCCTTGGACATGTGCGCAATTCAGATCGTTGAATTATACCTCACAGCTGAGCCCAGCGCACAGTGGGCAGCCTTGAACCTATGCGGCGTGTGCCAGATCACAGGAATTTTGTGAATAAAACACCCAGCATGCGCTGAACACACACATGGGCACAGACCGTGAACCGTGAGTCTACCTTTGTTTTGGCTCCACCCTTTGTAAATCCACAGAGGGTGGACCACCTGAAAACTTTCTTGGGTTCTTGGTGAGTGACCTCCATGATCCACACCACTCTCATCGGTTGAGCATTCTGATATGTGCATATGCGGCCAGCTGTGGCACCTTTTTTCAGAATCCGAGTCGGCTTCAATGCCATGCCCTGTGTTTCACTCTTTACGGCTGTCTGGGCCAACAGATGTGGCCAAGACTCTGAGGTCTAAGAGAACGGCCCAGACGCCAAGTTTCCTCGGGTCCCGTCCTTGCGGTGACCCACGTGGCGTGGTAGAATATCGTTTTTCAAAATTGTGAGGGGCACGAGCAGCAAAGCTATGGACAGCCGAGCTATTGCGCCCATAAAAATGGAGGCTTACAGCCGCAGTTTGGGGGGCGACAGGACATGGGGAAAGGTGCATGCATAAACTTGCGCAATCGGGTTGTGCAAGAATCACGAACCAAGGTGCTGCAGTATTTTTGTGCTCCAGCTGCGAACCTCGCCTCGGCGCACGTGTTTTCCGTGATGGCGCTCTTTGGCCTCTTGCTCATTTTCGCAGCTGTCGCAAGCGGGGAACCTGGCCTTCGGGGTGAAGCCACAAGCTGCATCCCGTCACAAGGATCATGCAACCCGGTGACGGACAGGTGTTGCCAGGGCCCAGGGTTGATGACCTGCAGGCTTCGCCCAAGCACAGCAAAAGGAGATGTGGGCCCAGCCTATGCTTGTGGTGAAGAATTCCCCAAGGAGACAAACACAAAGTGTGCAGCAGAGGGTCAGGAGTGCAGCACAGACGACCACTGTTGCAATATTGACCCCACTCTCAAGGTGAGTTGCAAACGCTTCGGCCTGAAGCGGAAGGTGTGCACAGCCAAGAAGAATGAGCTCACTGTTGAGCGTTGTTTGGCTGAGGGTGAAAGTTGCAACCCACTTGTGAACGGCTGTTGTCAAGAGGGCCCCCAAGGTGCAAGCCTCAGTTGTATATAGATTGTATAGTTGCATCTCTTTGATGCGGCAAAGTAAGTACGCGTTACCGTCACTCTTTCAGTGCATGACCGTCAGTTTCTCGGTTTGTGACCTTTTTCGTTGCTCGGTTTCTGATTCCCGACTTTACTGATGACTGAGGTGAAAAAGGCCTTCGAACTTGTCAGTTGAGGTTGCTGGCCCAGCCTGGGGCCCATGGAATGGCTTACTCTTGTGCCAAGGAAGAGGCCTAAGAGTCCTAGGATTCGCCTGCCTGTGAGATCTGGAACTGATTGTTTTTGACTTGATTTTTCTGGCCAGAGTCAGAAGGCGGTGGCTTACAGCATCGCCATTTTCTGGCCGCGAGCTTGTGCACTGTAATTCGTTCTTAGCCGCATTTTTTCCTGAACTCACATGCCCCCAAAGATTCATGAGAGACAACATCAGAATCAATTGAAGCAAGTCGCCATTGTTGAAGACATGGGGCGAAATGTTAAATCCCCTTTTGGAGCGGTGAGAACTAGATGGAACAGAGAACCATCAAATGCCCGGAGTGCGAAGCAAGAGTCTTCACAAAATCGAGCCATAACGGGCCGTGCCTCACTCTTCAGCCTGAAGAGCTGCTCATAGTTCCACCCAGTTGATTCCTTGCCTGGGCTCATATTGAACATTTTTGGCCGAACCACTCATGCGACAGTTCGATTTGCTGGCTTCATTTTGTTCCAATTGCATTTGCCTTGTGGTCTGGCCAGAAGTGTACACCTACTGTGGCCAGGGATAACGATTCACTCCAAAACCGAGCTCCATGGACCACAAGGTGTCCAATTTAATTTGGGAGGCGACTGCGCGTCTTCGCAGTCCCATCCAGGGTGCCAAAGCAGCTTGTCAACTGCGAAGCCGTGACTTCACAGTAAGGTGCTACGCAGCACTGGGCAGCGCGTACAAGCATGCCAAGGGTTGCGATGGCAGAGCCACGAGGTGTACTGAAGAAAAGGGCGTCACGACGTGTGGCAGCCTAGGACTGGTGAACGGATCCTTGTTATTGCGTGGTGAGAGCCCACATGCACGGGACTGCATGGGAAGATCTTTCTACATTCAAGAATTGCATTTCTGTTTGGCCGGAGTCCCTAGAGAGGCTGCAGACAACAGAAGGTACTAGTACTTCAAGAGCCACAGCAACAGTCTGTCAGCGCCAATCAGCATAGGAAGCTTGCAGATGGCTGGCCATTCAACAGAATATATAAATGAACAGGATGCTAGTTGATCAAACTTGTCAGCACTCGCAACTTCCAAGATGCGTACCAGTGAATGATTGATTCATGTGAGTAGTTGAGTAGTGCAGGTCTAGGTTTTTGCCCAATCCTTTACGGTGTCATCAGCAACCAACATGAGCCCCACCATGAACATGTGCAGAGCTGCTCTTAGAGTGTAGCTGCGCAGCTGGCATGTGAAGTGGGCTCCATTTTCACGCCTGGTCGGCTGGACCACCAGTTTTCGCCATGGATCAAGCTCGAGCAATGTGCACCCCTCAACTTGTACTTGGGATCGTGTGGATAGGAGGCCGACTGATCTGAGGCTCGATGCGCTTATGGGTCCTCAAAGAGATGTGGCCAAGAAGTCGAAGAAGGACCCGGCAGAAGACTGGAGGGATGACTCTGTGTGTAAGAGCCTCTCAGCCAAAATGCATCGCCGTTTTGTCGTTGCACTTTCGGGCCAAGCCTGGATGCACTTGCCATAAATAACGAAAACCAATGCGGCCACTCATTGGAGCTTCTAAAGATGCCTATCCTTCAGCGGTTGCTTCTCCGAGTATGAGGCTTCCTGGCAGGCTTTTGCCCCTTTGATCAGGCTGGGATGAGAGCAGGTTCTGTTGTTGTGCTTTATGCCGATTGAACACCGTGGCAGGATGTGCTGGGCGGGACGCGAAATATCAAGGCACTGCATACACTACACGCTTTGGGTGAGTTTGGCAAGGCTTCTGGACGTGCTGTCATCCGCAGGCTTGCCCCAAGATCCATTCAACTGTGATCCGAGAATGCTTCGACAAGCACCTAGAGGGTGCCCAAGACAGCCCCGCCTTTGCATTAATTTTTATATGTGTTTCCGTATCATGCATGAATTATCCATTGGCAGCATCCTTTGATGCCCCTTTTTGCAGGGGCATCATGCTGCTTGGCTCAATTGAGGCAATCTCCGCTACAGCTTTGAGGCTCAGGCCTTGAAGGACTGCGAGGATGTGCTGCTTCGGGCAGAGGAGCACAGTGCCAAGGAGGCAGGGCCATGTTTGACAAGTCAGCAGTACAGTCTGGTAGAGAGGACCCAGCAACATCATGCGAACATTCATCACTTCCGCTTTGCCAGATGCCTCTCCGTTGTGACAGATATTTCCAACATCTGAAAACATCAACACTTCATGTGAAAGATAGAGCACCTCATCTCCTGACCTCTCTCCACCTCATCCCATTTTTACCGTTGATCCAACTTCGTCGCACCCGAGCCGAGTCCTCGCAGGTCGAGCGCCTTCGCAGCGAGCTGCGGTCTACGAAGCCCAAGCTGCCGCCAGAGATCCTGGCGAAGCTGGAGGAGTTGCGGGCTGAGGCTGCGGACATCGAACGCCGCTGGGCGGACAAAGGTCGTAGATCGAAGTTCTGTCGGCATGTGACATGATGTTCTGCATACATGAACATATGCTATCATGTGCTTTTGCTTGTTGAAGCTTACTTCACCTGCAGCTTCAGCATAAAAACGGAGCATGATGTGCCAATGGAATTTGACGTCCACTTGTTTGCACCTGTCGACCCTGTGTTGTCATGAGTGTGATAGCCAAGGGCGTGCAGCGCTCCTCATGAAGGATGCTAAACAGGGTGGCGGTTACAAGAACCTCTCGCTCACATGGTCCAGAGCTGCGAAGGACTTCAACTTTGCCCGATGTAAGTGGTCCATCCCGAGCATGACCAAAGAACAGAAAAAGACCTTCGACCTCATGGTTTGGGAAATGCGCCCCCTTGGTGTGCTGTTTGAACGAGTGAAGCAGGAGAAGCTGGAGGAAGCTGAAGAGCTTGAGATCCATGGTCGCAAAACCTGTCGCAGATCTAGACTCCTTTCCAAACGGTTTTGCCCGTTTCCGTGTGCCATGCCCAATCTTCTTGTATGTACTGTAGAACTGCCAGACGTTCTTTGTGGAATTTGTATCAGCCATCTAGTGCAGGGGACAATGTGGCTCCAAGATTGTTCATAAGATCGGTCGGCCTTTGTCGTGAGCGACAGGGAGCATGACAAGAACCAGGTAAGGCCAGAAAAGGATTGAGGAGTTTGGTTCTTGATCCTTGTGAGGTCGAGGCGCCCCACCAACATGCAGAAACACGTTTTCTCCTGGTTCTCCATGCTCATAATTGGATGGAAACCCTCATAGTTCCAGTTCTATCCACATACTGCACGCTTTGTTCCAGGATTGTCTTATAAAAAGTGCCTGGCTTTTGAACTTGGGAAGGCCCGAATTTTAAGCAAAGCGCACTTCCAAGTCCATCAGGGTCAAGCCTCTTTACAATAAGGAGGAGGTAATTCATATTCATAAATAAATAGATAGATAGATAAGAACACACATCTCTCTCTCTCTCTATGTGTATATACATACGTGCAGCCCGTAAAGTATCATTTCGTCAAGGCGTTGACCTGCAGTGGATAGACGAGTTTCCTCAACTTTGCTCTACTCTACCAGAGACTGAGAACGCCTGCCCTTTTGTGACAGATGTTCCCTTTCAATCAGTTTGATCAGCTTTTCGTCTTTTTTTAAACATATCAAGCGCCAAACCTGCAGCCATCGCCAGTACCAAGGAAGATACTGATACTGGGACCAAACACGTGTCAGCCTTTCAAAAGCTACCGTTCGGGAGATCGTTCTGTCTTGTTGCGGTCTGCAGATGGACTGTCTGCCGTTCAATCCCCGACATGACCATTCTTCCTTTTGTCAATGCCTCCCACCACTACAGGTTCGGACATTTTCTGCAGGGCCCCATAGAGGCTTAATATTCAGGTAAGACTCAGCTTGGTTTCTTCTTTTTGCTGAAGTCGATGTGTTCAGCCAGATCGCCGCCATGTTTGGTTTGGGCTTTAGCCCTGTGGCCGGGGATGACTTTGGGGGCGCCGGGCCTTCGTGAAGTGCTCGAAGATCGGGTAGCCGCCAAAGACAATGCTGCTGGGCACAACCTCTTCTTTTTTCTGAGACTACGAACTGGATGCATCATTTGCATAGACCGACAACTGTTCTCAAGAAAATGTTGAGATTTGGGAGGGAGACTCATGCGGTTGATGGCCGCAGGAAGCCCTCAGAGTGTCCTGAGTATCCGGCACTTGCGCTGACTACATAGTTGTTTGAAGTTGTTCTAGAGGGTCAGCTCTTGATACCTGCTACCTCTTTGCAGTCATGTTGAGGGTGCTCTACACTTGCCAGCCGAGGTGAGCCGCCTTTTTTCCCAGTTAACCCTCTCGAGAGCCGCCTGCTACAAAGCAGCTGCCCGTGACTTGAAAAAACTATTGCGAAAGGCTCCTGAGAACTGCAAGGAGCACTTGATGAACTTCTATTGCGAGATTGTGGAGGATTTGGGGCTAACCTCGTGGTTCAAGAGAATTTTTGTGGGCAGTCCATCACGTTTTACTCTCATGTGGGTTAGATGTGAGGGGCAGTCAGAGAGGCATTGTCGTCACCCAGTCTTGGTTTCCACTGCTCCGAGAACTTCCAACCTTTTGATATCACCTTTCTCCAACGAGGACGCGCAGAGCTTCAACACTTGCGCCCAGCTCCAGGACAAGAAGGCTCAGCTGGAGTACTACGAATGCATTGCTCGGCCGGTATCCGCAGTGGATGGGATGCGCAAGCCCTTTTCATCACAATGTCCTCTTTCAGAGAGGAAGGGGGAGCATTGGGGATGGGAGGATTCGGATTGCCCATGAATCCATTTGGTGGGACATTCATGCCAGCTCACAAGATGGCAGGTTGCCCATTTAGTGAGTATTCAATATTCTGGTGGGGGATCCCCGTGGGGATGAACGGTGTACAATTCACATTTTAAAGTTGATCAGACCCAACTACAGCCCGCCAGGCAGTCCTGAACATGATTTCCATTTTTCAGCATTGCAATCAGTAGCATGGAATATTTCGAAGCCTCAACCTCTGGGCCTGCCACACGTGTCCAAAACGAGACTTCTGTGCAAACGGCCAGGACAACTGAGAAGGTTGTTCCTCTTCAGCTGCGCTCGGTGGGCTCCATACGTTTGGCCTTTTTGCTTTTGGCCCATCGCTCAGCGCTGAATGTCCAGCGGCTGCTCAGTCGCATCCACTCGCCCAACCATGAGTACCTGGTGCATGTGGATGTCAAGTCCCCGGAGGCTGTGGCAACGGGTGCTCAAAGCTTCAAAGCCATTTCTGTCGGATTTGTGTAAGATAAAGCCATTTCTGTTTGTACAACTGCATATCCTCTGATCCTCCTTCACAGTCACAAGAAAGATCAGAAAGAGACAGACAGTCCCAATTCACCCTGAAGGTGAAAGCTGAGATTGAGAAATCCAGCCTTGCACGCTGGGAGCGTTTAGAGATCTTCTCGGAGGTGAATGTCACACAAGGTGGCAACGACCTTTTGCAGATCAATATCCTCGGGCTCAAGCGCCTGTTGAAAACGCCTCGATGGGAATACATGGTGAAACTCAGTGAGTTTGACTACCCCGTTGCACCGCTCTACGCCTTGGAGCAATATTTGTGGGCAGCGCAGGATTTGAATTTTGTTGGCTTGGATTCTTGCTACAAGGGAACGTGCTCACGTCACATGGGCACAGCATGTGAAGGGCGAGCTTACAGCTTTCTTTCCACCTTACGCATGTACAAACCTTTGTCATACGGAATGAAGTTTGCACGTGGCAGTGAGTGGTTGGCATTGACTTGGGACTTCTCCCGCTACTTAATGAAAGAGCTCGAGAAGTTGCACTCTCCGATGCATGAGGTTTGGACAGATGCACTGTTGCTGTACCAGCCAGATGAGAGTTTTTTTCATACCGCCTTGCTCAACTCTCCCTTTTGCATGAGACATGTGAATCGACACTTGCACTACATTCCCACGATTTTGCCTGAGAAGATTTTGCACGGAAAGCAGGATGAGATTGGCACTCGAAGCCCTGCATTCTTGACTGCAGCTGACTATTCAGCCATTCTTGAAGAGAAAGCAGCTCGTCCAATCTTTTTTGCCAGGAAGTTGCAGGATGCGCCACACGAAGCGACCATGAGACTGTGCCGGAAACTGGACTCCAGATCTACTCAGGATGGGACATCTTGGGCGTTTCGCGAGATTGCATGGCCTGGCTTGCTGCAGTGGCTGGAGGAGCATTTGGAGAAATGGATGGCCTTGAAGAGGCCTAGCGGGTCTAGCAGCACATCCGACACCGAGCCTTCCGAATCCAACGGTTCTTGCCCGGACGAAGCAGCGCAACGCAACAGCTCGCTGCAGTGGCTGAAGCGGGAGCCCAGTTTGCCCAGAGACGGGGCGCAACGCACCGAGCAGCGCTTTACACCGGAGTCCTGGCACTTTGGGAACGCACAAAGTGCCACATATCGCCTGGTGGAGCGCTTGGCCACACCTAAGAGGGGCTTGGGCATGCCCGGTGCAGGGGGGTTTGGTATGAGCCTACTGGTTGCGAGGCTTGGAACAGCTTGGTTGGAGGAATCTGAGATTTTTGAGGGTCATGTGAGCATTGTGCCCTCCCGTGGAAAAATGCTGAGCTTCGTTACCTACTGGTCACCTCAGGTGCCTGATCCTGACTTGCCAGAGGTTTTGGTCGCTGGTCCGGGCAAGTCGTGTCAAGCACGGAAAAAGATGGAGGAGATTCACAAGTGGGGAACACCTTTGGTGCTTCAACTGGCCTGTGACCTCCCGCCTGGTCTGCACCGAGTGCAAGTGAAGCTGCGGAAGGACGGTGCAACTCAAGCAGTGGCTTGGCGCGACTTCTTGGTTTTCCAAGCCATGAGAGATGTCGGATTGGACCACATGAGGCGTTTCTTTGACCTCGAGGAGGTGCGTCCTGAGGTACTAAAACAGAGCGTGGCCATGCATCTCCAGAGGACCTGGGACTGGTCATAGGATGTGCAGTTTGTATCACTTCTCCATGTGTTTCTGGACCACTGGTGATGGTTTCCAAGTCTAAGGAGGGCCGAGCAAAAGAGAATCGCCGACAGCATCGAACCCAAATCCTGCGACATATGCAGCGGCCTTATGAGTTCCACGAGCTCGCCCCATTGGCCAGAGCTTGGCTTCTTAGATGCGACGCTTGTCATCTCACACCGGCAGGTGGCACGGTCTTTCTGGATGATGCAAAATTCCAGGCACATTTCCACTTTGACGTGCACGAAGGCGTGCATTTCACGGGGGGAGAGGCACTCAATAGCTTTCTCAAAGAGTCGACTCTTGAGTCTTGATTCTGTTTGGTGGCTGCGGGTTGGCATGCGTTAATTATGTTGGATGCTCGCAGGTTACAAGCAAGTGCGGCTTAGCTTCAAAGTAAAAGCCATGTAAGGCCCATGAGAAGCCAAGGCATCCTTCCTTTTGTTCTGAGGCGTGACCGGCATGCTCAACTGGAAGCTCGCCAGAAGCAACGAAGTACACAGACCAAGGACTGAAGCACCGCAGCCTTAGAAAGAAACATTGATCCTTTGAAAGATCCTGAATCCTGACTTGGTGCAACATTGCCTGTGGCCTATGGCCTACGATGTTAAAGGTGCTGAGCTCCGTATCCTGCGAGTGCGGTTCTAGGCTATAGACACTGTCAGGAGCGGAGCAAGGAGCCCAGCCGTAGTCGGCAGGCGGGGAGCACTATTCAATGTGCCAACAGAGCCTTTGACCAATGTAGTTCATGACCCGGGAATGCATTGATCAGGATGGAAGAGAAAGATATGTGGCTGAAGAAAGGGAAAGAAGGAGCTACTCTACTGACAAGCCGAGAAGGAATCTGGAGAGGAGAGATAGTCGGGATACAGGCATGGTCGGAGTTGCCAGCTGAGGAGGTTTCGTTGCGCAACATCCTGTTGATAGACATATATATATATACATATACATATACATATATATATATATGTATATATTTATATAAATACAGTTTCAATGTTTGCAGGGGACCGTGGAAGCAGAACTGTGGCTTGGCCCAGATGTGGGACATTGGCGCACTGTGTCAAAGGCCAGAGGTTTCGAATCTGTTTGGGTCCTGCATGAGGTCCGGGAGCCTCGCCTTCGCAGCAGAGGCGTGGGAGGAGTCGTGGGCAAACTGCGAAGAGCAAAAGAGGAGCACGATCTTGGATGGCAGCAATCGGCAGCAAACAAGTGACCCAATGACGCTCATGATCTTGCAACAAGTTGCCAGAATGTTTCCAGCCATGGTGGAGTTATGCATCAAATAACTGAAGTTGGCAGGTCGTCGTGACTATGACCGTGACGAGGCGGACTCCTTTTCTCTTCAACCGAGGAGCTGAGACCGGTTTTTTTGTACCCCCTGCCAGGACCGTGGCCGCGATCGGCAGATGTCCCGTGGCAGATATGTCTCCCGCAGTCGCGTCTCTGCGAACCGAGACTCTCGCAGCCCGCGCCGCTACTCAGGCGGTGGACTGTGTCCATGTTTTTTGTTCATTTTTGGATGGCTCAGGTTGAGGCCTTCGGTTGAGATATGTTGAGATCTCCTTTCCAGTCTGAATATTTTGGCATTTTC